TCATTCAGACTTCCAACTGGCTGACATTGATTTGACATAAACATGTGGCGCAGGTTATGTGCTGAACACGCAAACAATTTATATGTGCACGCTGTCCTGAATATTATCTTACAGTGACCGTGAATTCTATACACCCATCATTCTTCCCCTGGGGTTATAAATCCCCTGTTTAGGTGAACACATTAGGTGAGCACATGGTGGGCACACAAAACGTAGCAGCATCACTGCACATATGGGCATGATTGAAACAATATAATTACATTTCATTATGGCAAATGTCATTGTTCTTATTTTATACACATGAAAACATACAATGAAAAACATGTGACACAAACATACAAGAAATAGGAATAGTTTAGCAGTTCCCTAACTGAGATACTGAATACTCACAAAGAACTATTTCAAGCAGAATGTGCAGACAAATTAGGAAAAGGTAGTATAGACTAAGCTTAACTCCCTAACCTAAGTATACAAGATTAAAATTAATATTCACCTGGGAACTTTCCAGCAAATGCCGAACACGACTCAACCAGGGAGAAAATACTTTTCAACGGTAGGTCCGAGTCTGTGGCCTGCTGGCGGCACTATGAGGTAAATCTACGATTCCCGCAGTATAAGTATCAATCTATTGTCCAAATTAAACTCCTCCCTCTACTTAGTTCTACCCAACCCTCAAGATGATGGCTTAAGCCCCGCCTCTGAGGTAACTATCAGATCAACTTGGCTAACCAGTGACCTGTCACTCACAGTGAACGGCCTACAGTACGACCTTGACCAAGATAAAACATTTCTAATTGCCAAACACCTGTTCTCCCCAGAATTACACTGACGTGTTAAACTTTAAACTTCTCGTCGCCTCAATGTCTAGAGTCCGCTCAACTCGTGTTAGGTAATCTTTATGACCTGCGGTCCAGCTCAGGTGTGATGCTAAGTTCCCCGTTCGCTGGCCTCTACAGTGTGGTCAGGAGATAACATTCTGACACTGGCATGAGAATCCAACCTCACATCCCTAGTCTGAATCAGCGGGCTGTATTACGTAGTGTTAGGTAATTTTAAACAAAGCGCAGTGGCTTTGTCTGGGAGAAGGACTGGTAACATTTAAATCAATTTGGTTTAAAGTAATATTAGGGTAAAGGGCAGAGTAAATATAATCCTCTCTCTTTAGAACCAGAAGAAATTATTACAAGTACTAACTTCTGGAAAAACTGAGATCGTATAGTGACAGAATTGTATACCACTCCATTGGACCACCTCGTCCAATCTTTTCAGAATCGTGCGGGCAGATTCCTCACTGCCCGTAATTATAGTCGTGTCATCCATAAATGCACGTAGTGGCGGCATCCAGTGGTCCCCATAATAAAGGCCCTGTCCGTAGCCCTCCGCCCCGTCTCACATGACCTGCATGGCCATCGTAGACCCCATAGCTATCCCAACTTGGAGCTGAGTCCATTTCGTAGTAAACGTCGAGGTAGAGAAGCGCAAAGCGAACTTAGATAAATATTGCTTGATAATTTCGTTGATCTGTGTCGGTACGTGGAACATGCGAATGGCCTACCACAGTAGCCTATGGGGAACTGCCCCATAAGCGTTAACGAGGTTCAACCATATCACGTGCAACGGAGTTCTCTCATGCTTGGCCCTCGAGATAGACTTCCAAATCATGATCGCGTGTTCAAGGCACCCAGGGATGCCCGGGATTCCACCTTTCGATGTATTTGTTCGCCATCAGATACTGTTTGAGCCGGCGAGCCATAACCGAGAAGAATATTTTGCCCCCAACGTTCAGCAGCGAAATAGGCCTGAATTGGGAAAGAGTCTTTGAGTCTTGCTCTTTGGGAAAATAGACCCCGTTGGCCCGTTGCCACTCCGGACATATGTGCTTTCGCTCCACGCTTGTCTCAACAAGCGGTGAAGCATTCGTAGGACTTTAGGACAACGCCTGTAAAGGTCGTACGGAACACCCTTCGGACCTGGGGCAGACTTGCCGCTGGCTCTTCTCACTCGACCTCGACCTCAGACCAAGAGGGAGGTATAACTTTAAATGATACCTTCGGCAACTCAGGCTGCTTAAGGCCGCTAAGGATCTCTGAATTGTTATCGAGAGGCTCATTCCTCTTCTTGTCTGAGTACATTTTGCGTAAATGTGACTCAAGCTCCTCTTTACTGACCACCAGAGTCCCAGAATTCGATTGCTCGAATAGACATCGGGCAAACTGGAACGGGTCCCTAAAGAATTTATCTCGCTCTCTTTTGGTTCTCCGTCTGTTATTACAGAAACGCTCAGCGCGACAGAGGGCACTGTGTCTGTTTCTCAGGTGCAACCAGACCTCATGCAGCCACACCCTGTAGCTGCCTGTAGCGGCTTTGAACCATTTTCTGAGTGCCTTCTTGTCTGCCCGGCATTTCAGAATGTCTCTCTGTCTCCTGTTTGTATTCTGCTTGACGCCCGGCAGCGCCTGTTCGACTGTCCCGAACTCGCGGGAACAGTGCTTGTATATTACATTACCAAACCTTGTAAGCTTATCACCTAACGACTTTTTTTTTAAATCATGATTTAGTTTCTCACATAGTGTACCTTCCAACTTACACCACGACACCTTGTCGCTCGCAGGCGGAAACCTGATCTTTGAACGCACTTTTTCAGAAATCATCAAAAGTGCGCCTTCGCATTCAACGTCATGGGCCTCTCCGGGCGAGTTGTGAATACCCAGCCCGTCGTTCCCTAACGACTCAGAAACTACCACATGAGTAGTAGTTTTGCGACGGCGTTTACTGAGTGGCGCCCCCTCGCATTTCATACTTCTGGCATGAGTTCTTAGACCATGCAACCCCGTAAAGCTCTTTCCACATGTACAGAGCCAACCCGGGTGTTGGGCAAAAATCTCAGTCCGGGGGCTTGCAAGGTCGTTACCGTTAACTAATGTAAATCTTTAGGAGAGAACTAAACAAGCTTCAGTGGACCAAGAGGTGAGGAAAAGACGCTGGCGTTGGATAGGACACACATTGAGAAAACATGAGAACAACATAACTAGAATGTCTTTGCAGTGGAACCCACAGGGGCATAGGAATGAAGGAGGGCCAAAAAAAAAACACAGAGAAGAGAGCGGGAACTTTAGGTTATAATTTTGACTACGTTATGTGAGCCATATAAAATAGCTTAACAATGCTTCACACAAAGCAGCGCTGAAAAGAACTTTTGCAGTGTTGGTGTATTCACAGGAGACAGACCCAACTACTATCTCGACAGGCGACGAAGTAGTCTACCGGCGAGCTAATGGGCGACACAGTCGCAAAAAACTGCACAGAAGATTCACCTGCAGCAAGGCAGAGAGTTCAGTCCTTGAGGATAGCTGGCTCCCATCGGCTAGTGCTGAGGCGGAACCGTGGACGGGGTCCAAGAAGGAAACGTGTCAACATGTTCTGCTTCTGGTGTCATACGCGGAACCGTGGACGGGGTCCAAGAAGGAAACGTGTTAACATGTACGGCATCTGGTGCCATAGGCGGAACCGTGGACGAGGTCTAAGAAGGAAACGTGTCAACATGTGCGGCTTCTGGTGTCATAGGCAGAGCCGTGGACAGGGTATAAGAAGGAAACATGTCAGATGTGCGGCATCTGTTGTCATAGCTAGCCGCTGGTGCTAGTTGGAGACGAATCTGGTGGTAAGGGTGAGAATCTGGCTCACTTATGGTTACCGCCTTTGTGGCTGCTCTCCAAAAACTGGCGGCTGGTAGGTAGTGACCAGCAGCGACCATCACAACATACTGTCAGTAGCCTTAACTTTGTATTATTTTGTTGGCAAGAGTGGGAGAACACAGAAGGAGCCACGAGGCCAGAGAGTCATGACCCGTGCGGGCTTGCCCTTGGAAAGTGCATAGGATATAGAGAGCTAAAACGTTTGTCGAGGGGGAAATTCTACTGGTGATGGGTAGGTTTGTGCTGTGCATGCTGCCTCCGTGGAGTAATTTCTTTAAAAAAAAAAGTTTTATTAGGCCTTAGTTGGTTGAGTTCCGAAGTTATTTTGGTCTTTCAGCTTTTGCAGTCGTCACTGGTATCCCCAGTCTGCTCCTGCAAATCCTTTGGACCGTGCTCTCCCCTAGAAGCCACTGAAGTGCTTTCGTGAAATATTTGCAGTCTTAAGCATATGGCTATTTTCCACAAGAATGCTGGCTTGAATTACCAAGCTTGAAAGCAAATGAGAAGTTTCAATTGAACAACAACGTATTTTTTTATTTTTTTATTTGCGCTTCACTGATTAAGACTTTATTTATAACATTCACTTTTATCTTTCTTCTTCTCAAGTTTCCCATTATGTTTTGAGTTTATTCATTGATGTTAACTGAGTGCTACAAAATATTAGCATAATTTATAACTGTTTTTATCTCCGTAGAATGGAGCGCTGTCATCACTGCCCTACCTATGTCAGTTTGTGGCCTCTATCGGAGTCAGTTATGTGGCGGACTTGTTGCTTGAGAGAGGTTTATTGACCACTAAAAGTGTTCGCAAGTCTTTTCAGTGTTTCTGTGAGTTGCCTATACTTTGTGTTTGTTTCTAGTGGTATAGGGTGAAAGAGGGGAAGGGTGATTGGTTGCATTTAACCAACAAAAGAAACCAACAACCACAAACAATAAATTACCGATTAAATACTGAATTTATCTATATTAATAAAAAATTTAATTTTCCGATGTTGTTATCTAAAAACTCGGAAACTACTGAACCGATTGCTTTTAAATTTGCACACAACGTTGCCTTTGACTCCAAGCGTGATTTTTTGTCAGAAAATCGCACAAACTACGAACGACGTAGCTTCAGCAACGGTCAAATCATTATTTGTTTCGTTGCTGGCCTGGATTTGTTTTTAGTTAATTGGCCATATTTGACTGCTGAGCTCTTATTGAACTTTGCATTGTTATATAATTTCATTTCCACTATCTGCTTGAGTGTTTGGTAGCGTAGTTGGATCATATTCTGCCTATCATGCGGTTGACCCGCATTCGATTCCCAGCTAGGTGATATAATTTTTTTAGCCCTAAACTGGGCGGCTGGCACGTTGTGTTGTGGTTTATAGCTAGGCTGCGATATCTACGCCTTTTTCGGTTTTTGGGTTTACAGCTAGCCTGCGACAGCGGCGACGTGATGCTCAATGGTCATGTCACGGGTAATCTCCTTTCGCCCTCGAGAGGGCGTTGGCACGTTATGTTGTGGTTTATAGCTAGGCTGCGATATCTACGCCTTTTTCGGTTTTTGGGTTTACAGCTAGCCTGCGACAGCGGCGACGTGATGCTCAATGGTCATGTCACGGGTAATCTCCTTTCGCCCTCGAGAGGGCGTTGGCACGTTATGTTGTGGTTTACAGCTAGACTGCGATATCTGATCTAAACTCTTCAGTCGTCGGTAGTATAGTTGTAAGTATGTCATTCTTCACGCGGGTGACCGGTATTCGATTCTCAGCTGGGTAATAATTGTTCTTTTTCCCTTAAAAAGGTTTTTGCCACTTTGTGTTGGGGTTTACAGTTAGGCTGCGATATCTGCGCCTTTCGCAAAAATCCAATTTCAGTTAAGTCCTAATTAGTCTCCCCGCGACGCTTTTCTATCAAAAACTATTCAGCGATGACAGAAACTGTTAACTAAGACTGCTTACAGTCCAGTTTAGTTTGGGTGGACACGGATGCCAAGGTCAGTTAAAAATCGTTGCTTCGGAGAGGGATAGATGACGGGTGCGGAGTATTTTTCTACGCTATTCGTGAGTATAGTGTACTTTTCACTGAGGGTTCCATCACTGGTTACGTGATAAAGTTTATTTTTCCAATGTCGGGGGGGGGGGGGGGGGAATAAACTAAATATTCTGTGGCGACAGCATGCGACGCCAAATCCTCTTTTTTTACACCGACCTAAACAGACTGTAGTGACACTTGTTGTTGTTGTTGTTGTGATGGTGGTAGTGGTTGCAGTAGTACTGGTGCTGGATTGGTGATGTGGTAGCTGTTACACTGCCTACATTTACTTCTCTGTACGAGTTAATGCTACATATTTAAGTCTGGGTGGACACGGATGCAAAGCTCAATTTAGTTACAATATTTCGGTGACTTTCATATCCTTCGGAGAAGATGATATAATTGGGGGGAAAGGGGGGGGGGGGGGCTGTTATGCTAGACACAGTTAGCTGAGAAAGCATAGAATATTATTTTTAAGTTTATACTTCTTAACTATTTCTATTTAAAATATTTCGCCATGGATGATTTTTCAATCCTTCGGAGTGGGAGATATGACTGCGTCGAGGGCGGGGAGGGGGGGGGGGGGGTATAACAGACACTGTTAGCTAAGAGCTATTTTCTTTCCTCTCCATTTCACCATTCTGGGGCACAGCAACGCGTTGCCGGGTACAACTAGTTGTTACTATATATATGTACACACACACAGACTTGTAGACAGAGAGAGAGAGAGAGAGAGAGAGAGAGAGAGAGAGAGAGAGAGAGAGAGAGAGAGAGAGAGAGAGAGAGGGGGGGGGTACTAAGCATTCATTCTGTAACAAAAAGGAATTCTACAGCCTTTGTAGGGACTGCCGTGTGTATTGTGTGTGCTGGACTAATGAACTGTGAGATGCGACAGTTGGCGGTGGCTCTGCTGTGTTCGTGTACCATCTTCATGAGCTTTAGTCCGGCTGGCTACATCGTCAATCATTTGGATTTAGCTCCAAGGTGAGGAACTGCATCTTTGTACCAAATGTTGGTTGATGATCTCCTGACACAGACAAACATTTCTAGAAACCAAGACACTGAAGACATTGTTTGTGCAAGAGCCTGAGTCGAATACTGATTCCATGTAACATGTGACGTAATCATAAGCTTCTGACATCAGAGACTTATAACTGGCCCTCAAATACAAATGACACATTCACACGAACTCTGGACACAAGAGGCTAATTACTGATTGCAGCTGTTCGGACTGAGAGACTGGTGATTACTGGGCTTCAGGCACAAGGCAGACTTCGGACTGAAGATAGATAGTTATTTTCTAAATGTAAGAGTGACTGCTAAACTCAACTCTCTCTGTCTCTCTCTCTTCTCTCTCTCTCTCTCTCTCCTTTCTCTCTCTCCCCCACCCCTTTCCCCCTCTGTTACACACACACACACGCTCAGAATGATTACTGTCCTGCAGAAATAAGAGACAGATTCCTTATTCTGAGACCAAAGAGCAAGATTACTTACCTTTACATATAAAATACACATTACTGACCTCCATACACAAGAGACAGGTTGCTTACCTCCAGGCGTATGAGAAAGATTACTTACGTGCAGACACAGGAGAAAGACTTTTCTTCCAGACACAGGAGGAAGGTTATTGACCTTCAGAAACCGGAGAAAGATTACTGATCTTTGGTTAGCCCGGCTCTCTAGCGTAGTTGGCTAACCGGATTGCGCGGAGACCGGGTGACGAACTCCTCGTGGTCCTGGTTCAATCCCGGGGGTAGGCAGAAAAGCCACATTCCTCCCAGATTTACGGTATTTACAATGGAATCAAGGCCGAAAGGTTGCGATATCCATAATACCGAGCCTAAGGGTTAACAACTCATGGCTTCTGGATACTAAAACAAACAAACAATCTTTGGTTAAAACATTACCGACGTACAGAAACAAGAAGCATAGTAACAAGTTCGCTTCAAACACAAAAGGAAGCTCACTGACCTCCAAACACAAGACACGGATTGATGATCTCCAAACACAAACTCAGTATATTGACCTCACAACGGAAAGATTTTTATCGTATAAATACAAGGGCCAGAGAATTAATTTCTGACCTCTGGACACAGCAGAGAAACTACTTGTTAATCTATCTAAGTTCGCACTGGAAACATTATTGATCTCTAGATAGAAGGGGACGATTATTCACTCACAAACAGACACAAATTTAGCAGTATCACAGTGTAGACGAAGTACATGGTGTCACAACAGCTGAAGTGCCCGATTATCAATTTCGATAGATACCTGTCCTTCAGCGATCATGTGGAGGCAGTGGCAGTAAAATGCCAAAAATGAGTCAATTTTCTTAAGATTATGGCAGCAATGGACATGGAACACAAATTGCTGTTCATAATGTTCCAGCATATGATTCTGTCGGTGATTGACACATGTCAAAGATTCAGCTGATGAAACTTGAACACATACAGATTGAAGCCATGCGGGTAATTCTGGGATGTACAAGAGATACCTCGGTAGTATTTTTGCGATACATTCTTGCACTGCCTACTATTGCTGATAGGCTCAAAGTTCTTAAAGCAAAGACATATCTCAGAGTAGCTGCAGACAGGAAGCACCTCCTGCATAAATCAGGTAGAGCTAGAGTCAAAGACTAAAAAGAGGAAGGTCCTGGATGGCGCAGGCTGAAGACACAATCAGACTTGTGTGCAGGCTTGATAAATGTGTGCGCTGTGAGAAGTGGGTCAAAGTGTTTGAGCAAGTTTAAGACTTGTCTAGGGTTCTTATCACTTTGGGACGTGAGTGCAGGGACTAGCCAACTGGCGCTGCAGAATCAGAAGTTCAACACATGATTTATTACAATTCACGCCAAAGTGATGTGATTATCTATACGGATGGCTCTGTGTCGAGGAGCAGACGAAGTGTATGGGGGTTCATAGCAAAAGTAAATGGACGCCGCTCAGTGCAAACAAGCCTGGCAAATGATATCACAATGTGTTGTTTGAGAATGGAGGTGAAGGCAGTCACTTCTGCATTCCGTTGGCTTGGAAATCAGCTGAAAGGCGAAGACAGGTATACTCTGTGTACAGTGGCAAGCATAGTTTCAGAGCTCCAGGGTAGTAATCATTCTTTGGATATTCTCTTCAGGTCAGGCTGGTGTGTTGGGAAATGAGCAGGCAGATAGACTGACCGGTTCTGCAACACTTAGTGGTAAACTTATGTATGACAAGCTAGATGTTATGAGTGCCCTCTAAGAGCGAGTGAACAGTCCAGAAGTGCAAACTGATCATTAAAGTCTGAGGAAAATGCGCTGGGAGGAGTTGCCAGGGGATCAGACCGATGCTCAACACTCAAGGGAAAGCGAGACAGAAATACAGTCAGACAGCTAGTGGTGCCATCGGAACTGGTACTCTTCGTTTGCTGCTGAAGGTGGGGAGTGTACCGAGTGCTATGATGTCGATTATTAATTCAACATTCAACAACATAATTAACCAAAAATTAACATCGCAGTGTTCTAACACATTTATGACAATCATAGTTGCATGATCATCACCATATACCCTGCAGAGATGAATAGGATGTTTCGCCATCTCACCTAAAATATTAGTGTTGAAGTTCTCTGTGTAAAAGGTGCTGATACGAAAGTTATCTCTGACATTCAGGTATACTTCTGGAGCATCTCCTTCATTGGGTTCATTTTGCTTTCTTCTAAAGTGCTTGTGTGTTGTAGACGGCTGATAATCAACATCTGGTAGCATTTCCTTTGTATCCGCCTAATGTCTTTCGAATTCATCTTGCGAACTGCACAGTTGGTCAACTAATGATACATAGAGATCTGCACATGTTTTAAGTTCACTCCTTAATTTGGCCTACTCTGTAAAAAGTCGGCAAAATCTCATTAAAAAAATTCAGCGTATTATTTGCGTCTCTTCTAGCGTCTCCCTGCTGTCATTGGTTTCTTCGGCTTTAAATTTTATTACATGCTTGTCGGACTGAGGGTCCATGGGAGCCATTTGGGACACATTTGTATTACCAGGAGCCACACATGACAACTTGAATTCATTTAATAAAAAAATTATTGCAGGGCAGCCTTCGGTCAGCCAGTAAAACGTTCAACAAGCCTGTTGAAATGCTTACACGCTTTTGAGAAAAGATTTCAAAATACTTGCTGTTGTCATAGTGTTTGCCTTCCATCGGGTTTAAGAGAGGGATTTTAGGGCGCTGTGATTGCCATTACAACCTTTAAGAATTTCTAACAGCTGCTAAAGACTGGAAAAATAAAGTATCGATTAAATGCCCTGTAGAGAAGACATTAACTCCTTTTGAGAGTGGTCGATAGCAATTTGGTCTACCAGATTTAATGAATGAGATGCAAAAGGCACATATAAAGCGAACCTGTTTGTTTCTACAATATGTTGCTGTATCCAGTTGTTTCTACAATATGTTGCTGTATCCAGTTGTTTCTACAATATGTTGCTGTATCCAGTTATTTCTACAATATGTTGCTGTATCCAGTTGTTTCTACAATATGTTGCTGTATCCAGTTGTTTCTACAATATGTTGCTGTATCCAGCAATTATAACACCCAGAAATGTCAGCATATTCTAAAAATTTTAACATCTAGGGTCACAAAAATACTCAAGACAGCGTTCATCTTCTCAGCTGAAGTATTTTTAAAAATCCTATCAGAGCTACAATAATGCAATAAAGACGGCTTGATACCTGATCTCTGTTAAGTATAGAAGCAAATGTGTCACATAAGGTTAGTTTTGAGGATGAGATCAAAGATTTAGCAGTTTAAGTTCTTCAGGCCTCATCATCATCGTCAGGTGCCTTGCCGACTGGCGTGGGCGATCATGCCTCTCCGTAATCTGCGATCTCCTGCAGCATGTATCAGTTCGTATGCCGATACACCTCCATGCCATGCAACAAGACTGTCAAGCATCTTCTCTCGTTGTCTTCCTCTATATCTCCTTCCACATATCTTTCCAGTGGTCACAACATGTTTTATTTTCCCTCTTCTCATAACATAGCCGAAAAATGATGACTGTCTCCTTCTGATGTCTGTGATAAGTTGTATTCGGGCTCCCACCTCTTTCAAAACCTCTTGGTTGCTCTTTTTGGCTGTCCAAGGTATTCTAAGCATTCTTCTGTAAAACTACATTTCCAAAGCCTCCATAAATTGTTTGGCCTGCCTACCGATTACCAGTTAAAGCTCTCATTATATATTCACTGTATATTGAAAACAAATCAGGTGACAGTACACATCCTTGTCGTACGCCCCTCTTTATGCTTTGAAATGTACCTAAACAGTTGTTAATTTTTATAGCTGCTGTTTGCTGCCAATACATATTCTTTATTATTCATAGATCTTTCCCATTAATGTTTAATTTTTCTAACAGTTTAATTACTTTTTCATGCTTCCATTTCCTTTTGCATAGTCCATGAAGCTTATGTACAAATCAGTCTTTACTTCTATAGCTCTTTCTGACAATGTCCTTAGGGTGTATATGGCATTGTTTGTACCTTTTCCTTCTACAAATCAACATTGTTCATCGCTGATTTCAGGTTTAATTTTGTTTCTTATTCTTATTCAGGCCTAAAGATGTCTAATACACAATGCGACAATTCTAACACAGAGAGTGATGATGACTAATACAAACTGAGATAGTGATGATGTCTATCACTCAGTGTGATCAAGTCCAACACTCAATGTGATGATGTCTAACACTCAATGTATCGGTGTCTAACACTCAATGTGAACACTCAGGGGGATGATGTCTTAAAAATGTGAGGATATCTAACACTCAAAGTGATGAAATCCAACATTTAAAGTGATCTAACACTAAGTGTGACGATGTCTAACACTGTGTGTGGTAATGTCTAAAACTCCATCTGATGGCGTTTAGCAGTAAGTGTGATGATATCTAACACCTAATGTGATGATGTCTAACAACGTGAAGTCTAATACTCAGTGTGACATTTAATAACACTTAATGTGATGAT